AAACATGTAATTAAATGGCTGTTCACGCACTAACAAGTACCGTACGATCAAAATATTTTGACTAGAAGTACTTAGTGGTAATTCCATTACGGAATAGAAACATAAAAAAACTAAACAGAATAATACTGCTTATAAATTAGCAGTAATTTTACTTCTGTTTCCAAATTTTTAAATAAGCACTAGGAAGTGTGCCAAATGCTTCTTCTTAGTAGAAAATTACAAATGGCAATGGAAAAGTCATACAATTTGTGTTTTTTTTAATTGATAGATTGAATTGCACATATGTATTTGTTGTTGTATTGTTGTTCCGTTGAATGAGTTAGTACACTATAGAAATGTAATGTAGGTGTTTACGGTCTTAAGGTTGAAATTTAAATGAGATGATATTCACGGTAGAAGAAAGCTAATACGCTACGTATATAAAACAAAAATTCACGTTGTTAAAGAAAATAACTAATTTTATACTATTTGTTTGAGAACTGCAGCTTCGTCTGCAACAATGGCCATTAGTATCATTACCTTGTGTTCCATCGTAAATCATAATAACGATAACCAATTTATTATTTTAATATTTGATACATATACATAAATTTGGAAAAAAATTAAGAAAAAACGAATTAAACCTAGTGGAAACCATTTCGCTGGAAGAGATTAAACAGAAGAAACGTGCGCCAAAATCCCTCCAAGAAATCTCGCCCTTTCTTGTAAAGTACCGAAATTATATTTCTTCCAAACAGAGTTCAGAACCATTTGACAAAACCATATTTTTTCTGTGATTAAAAGAATATGGAATTCTGATATGTAGTTTTAGGGATTTGTGAAAAATGTCGTTTTATTATACAGGTTGTTATTGGAGATATCGAGAAATTTTTTTTTTGAAACATTTATTTGCAATCTGTTCAAACAAAAAAGTGCACCTTCTAAGTAGTAGCAATTCTAAAAATTTTCACATTCGATATCTCCAAAACCGTTACTTTACCGACCAATGTTTATTAAAAGTTTATTTTGGTCTATAGTCTTACCTCCTTAAATACTATACAATCTTTTTTTAACACCATATATTAATAATTAGAAAGCAAAAAACGCATTTTAATTTTTGCATATCTTTGATAATAGTCAATTGTGTAGACGAATAGCACCGATTAAAGTTATTAACGCTAATTAGTGAGCATATACAGGATGCGCCAAAACTTGTGCTCCAGAGAAAAATGTAACGTAAGATACCAGGAACATGGAAAAAGTGTTAAAATAATTCTATCTAGAAAAATTTCGAAGTTATGAGAGTTTAAATTTTGCACTTTGACTCTATTTGTTTCTGTTGGAAAAATAATATTACATGTTTTTTTTGCTACAGGCTATTATAAGAGGAAACAAGGAAGCTGTATCCTAAATTATAACTCTGTTTAATGTTATTTGTGGCTTTTATTGGCAAAGTTTTCCTATTTTTACTTAATAATTATAAAGAAAACATATACAAGATCATCAGTATAACTAAATAAACATAAAAAAATGTCAAATGTCAAAGAATAAATGTCAAATTTTTTTGACAGGCAGAATTTTTTAAACTTACTTGAAATTTTTCTATGGGGGTAACACACTCTGTATAAAAAATTTTTGCATTTGCTGCATATTTTTACAAAAGTTGCATAAACTTTCATGTTTTTGGCTTTTTTGCATTACTCGTTTATCTATATTTAAGTCGGGTAGCCAAAACCTAAATTATGAAATTCCAAGAAGGGCAGGCAGATCACCGACAATTCACAGCTGGACAACTAATGACCTGATGGATATTCCGACAATTTGAAGCTTAAAGTACCGACCAATTTTATCACTTCTTTCATGTTGACAAGGAAAATTTCCTGTTGTTAATTTCGTTTTGGTTGGAGGTAGCAATAGGCTGTTAAAAATCGTTAAAATAACCAAAGAAAAATGTTAACAAAATTTTGTTTGTAAATTCGATTTTTGGAAAAACTTAATCAAAACTGCCTCATTCACAAAATATTTAAACAAAAAGTAAGGTAGAAGTTTTTAAGGACCTATTTTTTTTTTTCCTAACAAACGCATTAATTTCAGTGCGCAAAGCATTTGGTTTAATACTTATTTTATTATATGATACCGTTATTTATTTTTTATACCGTTATTTTATTATACAGGGTTATTCATAAATATGAAGCAATATTTGAACCTCAAAAATGACCTATAAAATGATGTTAATTTAAATAATAACTCGTGTCCTACCTCTACTGATAAGAATTTTACAGCCCTCGGAATGTGGGTATGGAAATTTGATTTTTTTGTAATAACTTTGGAACTATTTGACCAAATATTATAAAATTTGGAACATTTCCCTGTGACAACATACCCTTTGAACCGGTAATCACGAAAACCGGATACATCCACTCAATTTCCGGTTACAGCAGTTGCAGGTCACATTTTCTGTGTTTTTCCATTTTTTTGCTCTCTTAACACCATTTTTTTATTGCTCAAATCGATAGAGTAATCAATTTCGATTAAAAAAAGGATAACATTTAATACCCCTAAAATGGACCGTTTCAAAGATATTTTAATTTAAACTGAGGAATAACCCTGTATGATTTCAAAAATTAAAAAATAAATTAAATAGCTTTTAATATGGTAAAGTTGTGAATTTTAGAATTCTTTAAATGTCATAGTATAATTTAAGCTGTATTCAATTTTCTAATTTTAAATGGGAACCTATATTTTTTCATTCTTAATTGGAAATACCAGGTGAATAAAAAGTATGGAACCAAGCGTTTTTTTCATAAACTAAGCACTTTACGAAAAAAATAATTAATGTAGCGTAAAGTACAATTAAAATGTGACCATTTATCAAGAATAACATTTTTCGAAATTTCTTTTAGTTTTCGAGTTCTGGAAATTTTTTTTTTTTTAAATGGCAACCCACCATGGTAATTTTTTTAATTAAAGCTTATGATCTAAAAATGACCTCTAATTAAATAAAATTGTTTTTTAGCCAGTACTTTTTTTTAAATTAATTGTTAAAGTTATGAGCTCATCACGAAGATTTTCCGAACTTAACCGAAGTGGTTGTTTCATGCTTTTCATCATGGGAGAGCGCTGATTTCTATGCAGGTGCTTTGGGGTGGTTTCAAATGGACTAAAAATAGAAGAAAATGATTTCTTATGAGATTTTTTGATCCATCCGGAACCACCCCAAAGCACCTGCACAAAAAACCGGACTCTCCAACGGCCAAAGTCATGAAACGACCCCCTCGTTCAAGTTCGGAAAATCTTCGTAATAGGCTCGGAACGCAACTTTAACAATTTATTTAAAAAAAAAGAACTGACTAGAAAACAATTCTGTTGAATTAGAGGTCATTTTTAGATCATAATCTTTAATTAAAAAAATTACCATTGTGGGTTGCCATTTAAAAAAAAAAAAAAATTTCCAGAACTCAAAAACTAAAAGAAATTTCGAAAAATGTTATACTTGATAAATGGTCACATTTTAATTGGACGCTACACTAATTATTTTGGTCGCTTGGTTCCATACTTTTTATTCACCTGGTATATGTTTTCTTCGCACAGGCATGTGCAATAAGTTTTTCTTTTACCAAAAATAATTATTTAAAAAATAATCAAATTAAAAAAAGGTCATTAAGATCTAATTGCACAGTGTCAAATAAGACAATGCCATTATTGTAATGTCAAAAAAAAAACAGCAAATGAAAGAAAATATTGCTAATATCTATATATAAACCCTCTTTTTTCAACTTCTTATAAAAATAACAATTTGTTAGTTACTACATTTATTGAAAACTTTTAGTTATTTATTATACAAGACGATAAAGAAATTGTTTATCTACGAGTGAAAAGGTTAAGTTTACGAATGACGAAGTCACGAGTGGACTTTTTTCACGAGTAGATAAACAATCTTTATCGTCGTGTATAATATTACGTTTTATTTTGTACTTACCTACCAGAATTTCTTGAATATAAACAGTAGATAAAAATTACTTTATTTCACTAGACGATAAAAGACTACTTTATCTACTGAAATTAGTTGATAAAAGCACTCTTTAACAGTGAGTACAAAATAAACTTATTATTTAAACTTTTGAAAAAAAGCTTCACTTTTTTTTGAACACACAATTTAACCCAACACACCAAACTTTTATTTAAAACACAACTTGTTTCAACCACAGGTGGTCATCCTCAGGTCAAAATAAAACTGTTTTTTTTTTAATAAAACTTGTGATTTTGATTGGATTGGTTAAAAAATTGTTTCTTTAGAAATACCTATTGAATATTTTTTATGTAATTAAATTATCAATTGAAATAAATTTTCAAATGCCAAATTGATTTTCTGGATATTCCAAGTAAACGTATTAATATTTCATTAAAATTGAAATACTTTAGACAACAGAATATTTTTAGAAATCTTTTCCAAAATTATTATAATAGAGCATATTAAATATACAAGGTGATTTTTGTAAGGCCTACATTAGAAATTTTTAACTTCTAATGTAGCTACGGTTTTGAAAATTTGTTTACAACCAAAATTGACAACTCATCGAAAGACATGGAAATGTGCAATTTAATTTTAAGTTGGATTGTTTTATAGAAAATACGTATCAATTTTAACAATCATATTAAAAAAAAAAAACATTTAAAACAATCCAAAACAAGACAAATATTTTATAAAAATCTACATCTACGTGACGAATATATTATTTGTCATTACTCGTTAGTTTTAATGTTAACAATATACATTTAGCAAGCATTCGGTAAAATTTCGCAAATTTAATCTCAATTTGCTTTAGTGAAATATTTTCATCGACCAGACTGGTCATTATCTCTACAATTCTATTCCCTCTAATTGAAAGCAATTCTTGTAATATCTTCTATTAAGAGAAATGCAGGCATTGTGACCAACGATGTTACATTAATTACTTAAATAGTTAGTGTTAATAAAACAGCATTCCATTTCCCTCACAAGCTTTCAACAATTTATTTACCTTTTCTCCTCACATACTTCCTCCTTCTAACTCTCGGTTTTCCCACAGGCTTGCCTGTAGAAAACTCAACGATTTTCATCATGCAGCACAGCAGCACTACAAGCATGTCTGTTATTTCCTAGGGCATGTCTGCACTTTCTTCCAGTAAGTTTTCAAAAAACGATATTGTATCACATTTGAGTCACTTTCACACTACAAAGACCGACGTTTTATCAATGTCTGCAACTAGGATTGAATTGAAACAGGAAATGACGTTTAATTTTGTGGTTGTGGATGATAGTACTTTTGATTCGTGTGATTAGGGAACAGATCTGAAGGGAACTGAGGATGACGTGACGTGCTGGATGACGCTCCAGTTTACAGCAATAGTAAACATAAAAACAGAGCAACATATGGTTTTGGAATTGAAGTGTCTAGAGAGAGAACTAAAGGAAAATTATTATTTGTAAATACGAGTAAATTGTGAGTTTGGTTATGTCAAATGGAATTTTTTTTTTATTACTCATAACATGAATCAAGGAAAAGTGTATTTAATTTTCTCAAAAACAACAAAGATAAAACTTGTTTACATTCTTTTTTCCTCGGGTAAGTGCAACAAAATTTTAATCTTTTAATCTAGATTTTATTTAATATTCATCCCATTACAATGAGTTTAACAAGGCCTCAACTACAAGTTTTTTTAAACTACAATTTTTTTATTATTCACAAACAACTTTAGACTATTTGTACACAGAATCCTTTGTCACCACGTCACCCTTAGTTTTTCGTTGATTTGGAATTTTAATTTTTTGGGATAGGTATTTGAAATTTGAAATTTTTGAACATTCAGCGTGTAATGCAAATTTTGCACTAACAATTTTTATTAACCTTGCTAAAAACATTAGTAAAAAAATGGTTCCAAACAAGCAACCAATTCTAAAATAGAAAATAACACTAAATGGATAAGTGGTAGCGTTCTACGATTAAAGAATAACAAAATTTATGCTATTTACAATAAATAACTGAAAGATATTTGTCACTATGTAGAAATCAAAAAATAGACTAAAGTTGTCACTACTGCGTATAAATTTTTGGTTACACCTTGAAAAAAATTCTCGTACAAATAGTTTAAAAATTAATTTAAACCTAAGTATTTTATAAAATAAATAAAACCACAAATTTCCCATCTTACGAAACAATACGAGTATAAATGTAACTATTTTTATTTAAAAAATTACAATATGTAAAAAATGTCGAATCTATTCTATTACCATTCAAGAGAAAAATGAATTTTGAAATTTTTAATTAATATGTAACAAAATAGGAAACTTCAGTACTCGTTGTAGTATAAACCATTTATCTTTGGAAGAATATTTTCTTATTTTAAAATACATATTTTAAAACTTTGAGTATTACATCACGTGATATTTCTTTACTGTTGTTTATTGCAGATTTTGGGTATTTTTACAAAAGGGACAAAAATGCTAAAATATGTAATAAAAACATATGCCAAAATATGTAATAAAAACATTTAATGTATGTACTAATAGAAAGTGTGTTGACAACTTGTATGGAGTTTTGTTAAATAGTCAATTTTACAGTTAAAAATGACATTCCTGAAAGTTAATTTTTTAAATTGGTAAATTACAACTTTTTAAAAGAATTAAAACTAACAAAATAAATAAGTTTTTCTGT